CAATGTCATATGGTACCAGTGCTTTACCTTTAGCGTAGAGCAGACCTTCGCGTACTGATGGACGTGTGATTGGCACATATGCGGATGATAAAGCTGTTCTATCCAGTAGTAATAAAACAAGCGAAGTATCGGTTAAATTATAGACGTGCAATAAAATATGGCTGTGTGGATGAAAGGCTGGAATATCAAAGCTTATCTCTATAAGTACTATATAATTTTCAATTTACTATACAATGCTTACTAAGATTCTGAATTGCGCCTCAGAACCGAAGGAAACACACCTGTTATTAAAAGGATAACATCATCCGCATACGCCACTGCTTTGACTCTACCTTGGTTAAGCCCAGCAAGCAGTGAATTTATTGTCAAAATCCATAATAAGGGAGATAACACTCCTCATTGTGATATAGTTGTGATGCATTTCTCAGTGCTTAGATTGCCCATTTCTGCATTGATGATTCTGTACCCCAGCATTGATGCAATCTATCGAGAGAAGCAGACCGGGATGCTCATTTCGCTGAGAGCCTCCTGCTTGGCCTCCACACTGACGTTAATAAAAGCCTCTTCTACAACTAAGAAGACGCCTGAAATGAATTGTTTACATCCTAGAAATTTTTCCACAACGGTTACTATCTCATATAGCGCCATTCCCTTGGATTATCCTTTGAGATAAGCATGCTAAGCGCTCGATTAGTGTGCGAAACTAGGTATCGATATTAGATAAGCGTCGATCAGTCTTTCCATAGTCTTAAGTAAGAATGAAGTAAGGCTGATAGGTTCATAGTCCTTGGTCGAGCTGTGACCTATTCTACCTGTCTTTGGGATAAATACTACTGTTACTTATCTACAAGTGGTGGGGACATAATTGAGTGAAAGGCAGCTGCAGAAAATCGTGGACAACCAATTTACAGCTACATTTTCCAGAGAAGTAACATAAGTGGTAAGATCCCATTGGGACAAGAGCTCTTGAAGGGAGAAGGAATCGATAGCCCATTTGATTCTTCTTGAAGATACCACTGCTTGTATAATTTCATTAGAATTGGCAGAACGACACCTTCGGTGAATTGCTGAAAGAGCCGAAAAAATTGGTATATACTAATTGTGAACATGATTCAGTTAAGGATTTAACTGGACTTCCATCTGAATTATTAATGAGGGAGGGGCAAGAATGGCCATTTTCGATCAATTTGGCTGATCTGGTCGACTCCTTAATACTTTCAATTTGCTAGTAATGAGAATTCCATAACACTTTCTTGGGTTCCCGAAGCGCTTACGATAGCTTTCATTAAAAGCTGTCCGAGCATAGAGAACTTGTCGTTCCACCATGGTGTTCTACATTTCTTCGCATAAGAGCGAAGGTACGATGCTTCAAGGAAGAAAAAAGGTTATGAGTGAATGAGTTCACCCTACTCTCTAATTCTCTAATCGAGTATGGATATATGCGAAGGTAGCAGTGTTATCCTTCTTAAAAGTTTCAAGAGTGCGTCTTAATATAAAAACAAAAAGAAACTCACCTCTATCGTTGATTTCTCAGCTTCCCCACAAGGATTGCCAGACACTGGTGTCACAGCTCATCAGCAAAGGTAGAATTCTCGATCAGTACGAAATTGCGGACTTATTCTACACCCTTTGGATGCGTCTCATCATCGCGTGACATGTAGGTGGGTACTATTAAAAGAGTAGGCTTATGATTTAGCTCTACTTTGATGGTGGTGATATCTAGAGAGCGTATATGGGAACACGATCTAGACTTGACTTGTCCTTTAACATAAAAAATATTATACCCGTTGATGTTAAGCTCTTTGACACATGAGTTATGAACCCAGGGCTCTTGGATGATGGCAAGATCGATGTCCTTCTCCCTGAGAAAGACAACAAAATAAGGTTATGGATTTTTACGAATGATATTCTTCCTGGCATTTCGTGTTAATAATAATATTTTAATATTACTCTTTCGAGTTCTGATATTTAAATATAAAATATTGTTATTTAGAATATTTGTTGTGCAAGTGGTGGTTTCAATAATATTTTTATATAAAATATGTCTTCGTATTGAACATTCCTTTAGAAATATTCTTCAGTATATTTCGTGGTTTGCGATGAATTTTATATAATATATATATATTATAATTTCCTGTGCCTGTGTTAGACGTCATGGTGCAGGGACACGAAACGGGAAGCTTTGCGCTGCTGTTAAGTATGTTACTGTCACTGATCCTATACTGTCACTTCTTATACTAAAAGTAAGTTAACGTAAAAACTCCTTTTATTATTAATTATTATTTGTATTTACTGATCATAAGATAAGATAAGAAAGAACAGGGTATTAGCTCCCATTTGAGCAGAGCACCGCGACCATAATTGATCTTTTGTGCTACAACAGACCCTAACTGAACAACAGACATTCCGCCTTTCGAATGAAGGCCAAAATGTCGGTTGTTGAGGACTTCCATATGTCGAAAAGTGCTAGCAATTCCCGACCCAGTAATCTCCTCCTGGTCCAGATCAAAGCTGGGCAGTCACATAGAATGTGGCTGGTTGTCTCCTCTGCCCCCAAGCAGAGTCTACAATCTATCTCTTCGGATTGGCGCATTTTGTTGAGGTGGTAACGTAGCCCATGGTGACCCGTTAGATATCCCACTACCAACCTCAACTCTGTTCTGCTAAAGGAGGATATCTTATTATAACTATAGGGGAGAACCAGCTCTTTAGCCTGACGGTTACCTCGACTGTCGTGCCAGTAGCGACTTCTCTCGGTTGAGATCCAATTATTGATTAGAGACCTAGTTGTAGACCAACTTAATCCACAAAAAGGTTTACTGATCATATTTTGTTACATTATTGAGAAAAGTTTTTCTAGTTCCTCTTTTTTAATAAATAAGGAAATGTTGATCTTCTCATTGCCATAAAATCGTTTAGTTCCAAAAAAATAAGTCGTTTTTTTTCTATCTCAATTCCATAACTATTTTCGATAATAAGTTATCATATTTTAATACCCCGATAGCAGCCTGGCTGTCAATTAAAATGACTATTCTTTTTGTTTTAATTATTAAGTTTAAAGTTGAATTATGAAAGTAAACATATTAGCTGGCCATATTTTTTTCAATTAAGAGATGATAGTATTTTTATTTCAGGGTTTTGAAAGTTTTGTGTTCGACCCAAACTTTTTTTTCCACGCCTTAGTTAGTAAAAAGTCTTTATATCACAGAATCAAATGTTGCTCTATGTGGTTAGTATACCTACAAGATGAAGTACATTATTGTTACTGAGTTCGGTTTAGAATCGTAATCGTAAGTAATAATACTACATAAATATATTATGTAGTCCATCTCAATAATTAGTATGGGCACTTTTGACAAAACACCTTTAGTAAACTTTTTGAAACATAAGTATAGCAGTATCAAGTCAACAAATGGATATATTTTGGTTAGATTCATATCCATAACAAAAATTGCATAAATATCCACTGAAACGTCATACGCCATCAATAGGGGTTAGTAATATTTTGACAATTGTTTCCCCGTATTTAATTTATTTTGCACTAGAATTGTTCAGAAAACAAAAAAAAAACAGTTACTGAAATAACTCTTAATAAAGTTGTATGAGTTTTGGAAAAATCACACTTAACTTTTTAAGCTATCGGTACATCAAATCATGATAAGATACTGAGAAGAATTTCACCTCTAAGTAGCATTTATCTCTAAGTTTTCCTAAAGGATTAGAATTTTTTTCTAGGGTTTCGAGAGATACACACAATTTCATAAAATGATAACTAGCCACTAAATGAACAGACTTACGTTTTGTTTTTAAAAAAAAAATTTATAGAGATAGAAATACAAAAAGGTAAATAATAAAAGGAAGGAGAACTGAAGTTAAAGTAACTACTTTTTGCTTTCGAGCTACTTTAAAATAACAACAGTAATAGTAGATGCAACAGTAACATAAGCAGCACTTTAAGTAATCATAATCTAACCCACTTCCTCTAAGTATGCTATACCATTTCTTAAGTGTAGTTTGAGTTTCAATATTTTATCCAACGCAGGGAGAACGCTGTCATGCACCACAGTCCGCTCCATTCACCCGCCAATATCAAAGTACACGATTCTCTGTACTCTATTTACATTGACTCTTGTTACTCAAACCATACCGCAGCACCACATAAAGTGTCATTAACTCAAGTGTATGCCGTGTGAGTGTGCTGCCAAGTCGTTTATGATTTTGGTTCGCAATCTCCCTTGCCGTGCGCTAGTTTGAACCAATATTCTAACGTTTCTTGGTTCGTTGGTTTGTTGATTCTTCAAACTTTTCTGTTAATGCTTTTTGTTTGCTTTTCCACTCGCCACTCGCCATTCGCCATTCGCCACTCATAACCAAATAATCGCTTAAGCATAAAAATATGAAATTACTCGCTTCAGTTATATAAGCATACGAAATAAGCAATAAAAAATCCACAAATGTACAAAAATCCAAAAATTCCGAAGAAAGTAACCAAAGTCAATAGAAGTAGTAACCAGAGCCAGAGCCAGAGCCAGAGCCATAGCAAGAGGAAGAGAAGTACCAGAAGCTAAGGGAAGGAACTTTAAGTAGCAAAGTTGTCGAAACAAATAAAAATAATAGGAAAATGCATAAAAAACTTCATAAATGCTGATTATCTCAAATATATTTGAACATTTGTATTGTGTATCTTTCGGATTGCATTACCGCTTTGCTTATTTTTATTTTAGTTACATTTTGTTTATTGTTGTGGTTAGCTGATTGTTGTTTTAGCTTTTGCTTTTGTTTTTGTTTTTGATTCTGATTTGGATTTTGATTTTGTTATTGCTGTTATTATTGTAGTTTTTTAGTTATTGTTTATCTTTGTACTTTAAACACTGCATTTCCTTTTCCGGTTATAATTTAAATTTTTTCCCGTTCCTTTTTGCTTTTATTTGAGTTCTTCATTTTTAAAAATATATTTCATTGCATTTCACATCCAAACAGTTAACTTGTCTGTCCGTTGTCTATCCAACTGTTTTGTTGTTGACAGGATATCTTTCATCATCAGCATCAGCATCAGCATCAGCATTAGCGTTTGCAACATTTGTGTTTAACTTTTTGTGGTTTCGACAGCTTTCATCTATTATACATTTTTGTTGTTGTTGTTGTTGTTTCAGTTCTTTATCCGTATATTTTTTATCTCTTAATTTGTATATTTCAATTTATTGATATTTATTTTGTGTATTTTTAATAATATTAATAAAGTGCAACGCAGGGCGGTCTTCCTTATAGCCGCCAGTAAATGGTAAACAAAATTCTATGAAAAGCGAACTTAATCGCATTAAGGGCAGCATTATGAGCACCTCATACTACCTGAAAGTGCTTAACTAGAGTCAATAGAATGTTATTCTATAATCACTATTAAATTGATTACTCTTATTGTTCTCAGATTTAAGAAATGTATAATATGCAATTATAGTGATTATATACAAAAAGGAAACCAATTAAAAATGTTTAATAAAGGAGTACAAATAAATAAGTACAATCAAAAAAGTACTTTTAGAAGTCGTTCGATATATATATATGTAGGAAAAACTTTATTTAATTTAATGATAAATAAATTTTATTAATATTCTTACAATAATATTTTACTACAAAACAAAATTATTTCAATGTATTTTACGCCCGTCAACATCACTCGCTCTTTTTCAACTCAAAACAATCAAAAAACTAGCAGCGTTGCCAGTCTTTCGTTTTCTTCATTTTACTGCCCGCCGCCAATTGCCACATATATATATGGTTTTTAGGTCAGCTGATGTAAGTTTGAAAATGTGGGAAAAATACTCCACGTTTCTTATTATACCTTGTGATCAAAAAAGAATGAGAATTTTAATTTTTGAATTTCCGCGCTTATCCAATTGGTAAATTTTTTTTAATTTCAAGTTGGCAACACTATTATACGATTTACGTACGATTACTTTTTGTTTGGCGCCTATACAAAGAAGTCGAAAAATTTTCGTGTGGCGATTTTTATAATGGATCAAAAATTAGAACAACGTGCGTGCATCAAATTTTGTATTGCAAATGGATTCAAGTGTGTCGAAACGTTGAAAATGTTAAAAAAGGCCTTTGGTGATTTGTGTGTGTCGCAACCACGAGTATACGAATGGTTGAAAAGGTTCAAAGACGGTCATACAAGCTTGGACCATGATGAGATCCCAGTCCGCCCAACAACATATGTTACTGAAGAAAACATTGAAGCGGCGAAGCAGATCGTGTTGGAAAATCGTTGTGAACCGATTAGAGAGATTGCAATATTATTGGGCATGTCAAATGGATCGGCCGAACACATTTTAACTGATATGAATTTGACATGTCCACCAAACAACAATCGATCGAATGATGCTTCGAAGGTGAGCCGAAACCGAAAAGAGAATGCCAAAGTCGGTCCAAAATCAAGGTTATGTTAACTGTTTTCTTCGATATTCGTGGTGTAGTGCACTATGAATTCCTTCCGGACAGTCAAATGGTCAAACGGTCAATAAGGAGTATTATTTGACCGTTATGTGTCGTTTGCATGAGGCCATTCGCACAAAGAGGTCAGATTAATGGAAGGAAAACTCATGGATTTTACACCACGATAACGCACCGGCTCACACAGCGTTGGTTGTGTCGCAGTTTTTGGCCAAAAACTCCATCAATATCATCAACCAAGCATCGTACTCTTCAGATATGACCCCGTGTGACTTTTTCCTCTTCCCCCCACTCAAATTGCCATTGCGAGGAACCATAGAGGTTGAGACCATAGAGGCCATAAAAGCGAATTCGCTGCGTGAACTAAAGGTCATACCTTCAGCGGCCTATAAAACTTGTATGGAAAATTGGATTAAGGGTTGGCATGCATGCATTGCCGCAGGAGGAAAGTACTTTGAAGGCGATAATAAAGAAAATGATTAAAAATCAAAATTTTGTGTGTTTTTTTTTAAATTCTCGTTCTTTTTTGATCATAAGGTATTACACATTTTTATATGAATATTCGTTCCCTTTAACTTTTTTTCCTCCTTTTAAAGGAATTTTAATATCAAAATCTATATGCAAGATGGTTTTAAAATAAGTAGAGTTCTCTTGTTTTTTGTAAAGCTGATATTTTTGAGTATTACTTCTTAATTCTGTTCTCCTGTTAACGACATTACACATGTTCATTCTAAAAACTTTTAACAAAACACAAAAATCGATGGCCTTTGGTATTTTCGTGGTCATTCTGGTAGAAAAACGTGATCTGTGAAATAGCTTTAGACGAGGTCTATGAAATAAGCGCATTATAAACGCATCCAGTGATGATGAAGTCTCAGGATTTAAAAAAAAATAATTTAAGCTTCTTTCTCCACAGTAATCTTTAATTGAACTATAGATCTTCTTACAAAAAAATTTCTTTCATGAATGTTTTTTTGTGTGTAAGTGAAGGCATTTCTTTGTTTTGGCGGTTTTTTTTATTAGAATAGTTGATTTTTGTGTTTCGTTCCATCAGTAGGCAGTCACTGATAAAACAGTGGAATGGAGTTTTTAAAAAGGTTTTTTTGGTGCAGTGCCTTGCTGAAACCACTTCATTTTATGATAATTCATTGGCATTTCAGAGAGAACGTTCGTTACTTTTAAAATTTCTGTTCAAATTCAAAGACCTTATTTCTTTATCTTAATGGATACTTGTAAGTTTTTACAAATTGCTCACCATGGTAGCTTTCACTATAAGAAATACATTCAAGATCATTAAAGAACGAATAGTGAGCTCTGACATACTTGATGTATTTAGTCTGTTCTTGTGTATCCGTAGTATTGATATCTCGAGTATTGTGTCAGATCTCGCTTGCGATGAGATGGTTTGAAGGCAACTTGGTTGTGGAGTAAGGCTTTGGTTGGTTTGTGTTTTAAATCTACAACATAAAGCTACTCCTCTTGTTTGACTGCTCGTATACGAAATGTAATTAGTAAGACTGTTGAATACTTTTAAATATCTACAAAAGGATGTACGTTTTTCAGTATCATTTCGAAATTTCAATATTGGGTTTGCGCGTGTTTAATTGAGTATTTATGTTTTCAATATGATTTGGCATTATTGGTGGAAACAAATTTTGATTTAACATCAAAAATATTTACGTTAAAACCGACATCACCATTTCAGACAAGGTAAACTCAAAAAACACTATACACTAAAACTTTGTTTGCAAAATTCATAATTCACTCAATTTATGATAAATTAAAAAATTAGCTTATCAGATGTACTCGTAAACACATATGTTCATCATTTCATATAAAGAACTGTGTTATGGTATGGATGCAAAAATTTCGTTAATTAAATTGAACAAAGGTCACGCTCCACAGAAAACGTAAATCCATCAATCAATAGGTACGCAAACAACTTACACTAATCAGTATCGATAATAATGTGATAATGTAAAAGTTTCTTAACCAAAATGGCAACCTAATGCAAAATATGTTCTACAAAGTAACGCACGGATATTTTGGGAAAAAAGTATTAAGTGTATCAAAGTAACACAGTAAATATTACAACAAATACTACAAATAATAGCATATTTACAATATGAGAAACTTGTCCTTTGCAACTTCCTTCCTTTCTTTCAGCCTTCCTGCCGTCCTTTCATCTCATTGAAGAAAAACTTTTCCACTTTTGCTGCTATTTCAACTTCAATAAGTCTTTGACATAGATCTCCAAAAGTGAATACCGCAGAATGCATAATATATAAAACGTGTTGGCATAAAAAAAAGAAATAAAGGAAACATCCTTAGGCTCAAGGATAACAAAATTGAATAAAATACATAGAAAAATAGTTACATAAGCCAAATGACGAATTGAATAGCGTGTTACAGTTATATAAAGGGGAACACGCTAATGTACATGTGTGTGAGGACATGTGAAAGAATTCACATCAATAACAGAGCATACAACTAGGCGCAATGTGCTGTGAAAGTGTATAATCGTGTGTAAGTACCCCGAAAGTATGCAACACTAGACTTTCATGTGTAGACACACAACAGAAGTTGCGGTAGTATCCTTGTCTGTCCGATACCTACACACCACCCCTCATGCCAGTGCACATGTGTACGCGTGCTTTTAAATTTTGACAGTCGGCATAAACTTATGAAAAATTAAAAAAAATATAAACCGAAACTTATATGTTTTCTTTTCAACTTCATATTTTAACAGCATTTCCATTTCGACTTTTTCCAGTAGTCAATATGCGGCTGAGTTACTACAAACAACCGAGAGAAGTCATATGTACGAGGCATGAATGCATTTCAATCTATGCCCACACAGCCTTCCATAAATGTGCATGGTTCACTAAAAGTTTTGTGGCATCCAATGATGTAAAAATCATGTTTCTGAAGTTATTAGATGTTCTGCTATATTTTTCTAATGTGAAATTTTTTCGTATGAATGAACTCTTGCTGAGTAGGGTACGCGATTGCAATTATTTCGACCGTATATTTACTTCACGATTGCACAATTTGGATCTAACTTTTTTTTGCTAGGCAAAGGCAAGCTCATGTTGTTACCCGTAGGCTGAAAACATCTATGCCTCAGCGTTATAAAAATTTTTGTGGACTGAAATTGTAGAGCTATGAAGTCATAATTATTACATTTGAAATGAAGTCTTTTAATTATGTTATGTTACAAAAGGAGGAAATGATAACAAAACTTATTTCTAACTTTCATGGATAGCTTTGGTTTTTGTTTTTTATATATCGAATTTACTTTCTGAACATAATGGGCATTTAAATTTTAATAAATGCTTACATATGGTGCTGTTGTTGTTGTTGTTGTTGTTGTGTTTTGAGTCAGTGCTATTGCACAATTTTATTCTTTTGTATTCGGGGAGCTTATCCCTGCCCCACACTAAGCTTTAACTGTACTAGAATTATTATCGTTTATTTATCTTTTAACTGATGATGGACCGTAGATCAACATATCTTCCTGTGCGTTCTGAGGTGGACTTAAGGATTGTTAGAGAGGGGTTGGGCAGCGTATCAACTTTTGTGAATAATTTTAGGGCTCTGTCCTTGATATATTTTTTCTATGCATGTCTGTTGTTCTAATATACCAAGGAATCCTAATTAGTCGTCTTAAAGCCAGGTCGTGTGCTATCAGTAATTGCTTTATGGCAGTATTCGAGGCTTTGCTGTAT